AGAGGAATGCATCCTTTCCCCTCTTCTGTTTAACATCTAAGGCGAATATATCATAAGGATAGCCTTAGAAGAATGGGATGGTGGTATTTCGATAGGTGGCAAGAAAATCAGCAACTTGCGATATGCAGATGACACTACACTATTTGCTTCCTCTGAGATGGAACTGGCTGATCGATAAATAAGTCCAAGATTACGATCACGGTGATTGACCGTGCCGGTGAGCTGGTACGTACAGGAGAACTTTCGGGTTTAGAGTTTGAAAGTAAATTTATCTACTTGGGCTCACTGATCTCCGACCAAGGCGTGTGCGAGAAAGAGATACGGTGACGAGCACAGATAACCAAATCCGCGATAGGTGGGCTGACAAGAATTTGACAGAACAGAGCCGTCTCAAACAACACCAAGATGAGAATAGTGAGGACGTTAGTCTTCTACATATTTCTGGACGGCTCCGAATCGTGGTCTATTCGCGAGGCGGATCAAAAGGAATCGATTCCTTTGAGTTGTGGTGTTGGAGAAGAATATTACGCATACCCTGGACTGTAATAGAACGAACAAATCCATTCTCGACCAACTGAGTATACGGCCCAGATTATCCACGGTCTGCTACCAGCGAGTACCGAAGTACTATGGTCATATCGCTAGAAGACAACTCGATAACTTAAACAAGTTGTAGGGAAAATATATGAGGTCTTTCACCTACCTGGCGGTCTGATCTTATAAAATCCGTAACTGGACTCAACGTACGCCCTACGCCAAGCAGAAGATAGGGTAGTGTGGAAGCAGATCAGCAAAGCTTCAGGGATACTAACGTAACTTTCTTAAGATACATGATCTTCAGCAATGAAGACAGCGTCCAGGAAGATACCTTCAATATTTGTATAGGTGTACCACAAACTGATGACAAAAAAAAAACACATGAAAAATCTAGATTTTTATTCGGCAATATATATTCTCTGCTGTTGACCACTGTCAAGTCAAAGTGTAAATTGTTGCTAATATTTAATAAAATATTTATTTATTTTATGAAAATGCCCAAAAACCATTGATATCTCAAGCAAAAAATATTGTTTTTAATGTTTATGCCTAAATTTGTGAAAAAAAGCTGAAGATCGACGTATTTTTTTTATTTTAAAGTTTTTTTATGAATTAACCGGTAATTAGCTATGACGAGTCTTGAAACTTGATGTTTTTTTTTGTAAATATTTGTTGGCCTGTTGACTACTACAATAAAACGAATCATTAGTGAGGGAGAAGATATGAAGACATTTTTCTATACCGGGTAAAAATAGGAACCGTGAATAGAAGAAAATAAACTAAAGCAGATTTGATTTAGATATGTAAGCATAACAGCAGTTGCAATATTAGATAAGCAACAAAGAAATACATGAAGTAAAGCTTCTTTTATTTATTCATGTTAGATTCCGAGTAAGGTAAAATATTATTGAGTTCTTTTCTGGGCACCTGGGTCATGTCAAAAATATCAGATGTTCGTATTATAGAGTATACAGGTGTATGTTTGTGCACTATATTATGTGCCACGCAGATGGCTAATCTATGTCAAATTTTGCCGAAATAGGAATACGGTCAGAAGTACATTCAATGCTATGAGACAGTTATTGAAGTGTTTATTATATTAAAAATATTGCAAATACAAAGACATTTTTATCCTTTAAAGAATATCTAAATATATACCGTTAATGAATATCTAAATGACAAAAAGGCATGGTGTTAGATATTTTAACCTAATGTGATTAGCATTGTTATGTTTTATGTGCCGTGTCTTGCGGCCATTGATATATGTATTAGAACTAGCTTCCGTAATTTACTGCATAAGTTAAGTACCTAGAGTAGTTACGCTCTCTTAAAATTCACTGCGATGGCGTCATGTGTGTCGGTCGTTACGTTCCCTAAAACATGGTTTAGCGAAGCGAAGGCTGGCTCATGCGTCATCCTCGTAAACGGGTGCTGCCAGTGGGGATGACTCTGATCTGGACTACTTAATTTTATCTATTTTCTTGTATTATAAGTATTAATGAATATGTATGATTCGGCAACCGGAATATTAATCAAAAATATCTGCCTTGTTATTTATTTATTTATTTACTTACTCAAGGCACGTCAACATCACAAATACAAAAATAATTTAGTTAATGTTTTAAATGACATTTATCTAGCATTTATGGCAATTAAAGACATGCACAGCATTTGTTACAATTAAGATATTCCATATGCGTTTACATTACAATATTTATTTAATTACAATACAATTATAATTAGATAATAATACATTACAGTTACACGATATTGGAGTTAAATTAATACATTATCCTGCAAAAATATAAAAGTGATACACATTACAAAATCAACAAATACCAATTTATATTCAAAAGTCGATTATTATTTATGAGTTCTTTACTTTAGGTCAAATAGTAGGTCGATGTGTGTGCAGTATTTTGTCCTTGTATTGACGAAACCTATCGTGAAAGATATTGAGGTCAAAAATTCCATGCCAACTATTGTACAAGTTTAACAGCCTTGGCACAGGGGCACCTCTACCCACATTGGTTCTATTTACTGGAACACAAAAGAAAGCTTGGAGTGTTTACATTTTGACGCATTCAGAGATAAATGGTTTTTGCCACACCAGATCTGAATTCGGTCCAAGTCAGACTGCAATAAGTCGGCGTCGTCCGATATTTTAATAGTCCGGAAAATCTTCATATCATCAGCAAAAAACGAACACTGGATATGCAAAACACAGGAAACGATGTCATTGATGAAACGAAGGAATAATATAGGTCCCAGATGCGAACCTTGTGGTACTCCTAAAGATGCCGTGTACACTTGAGACTCATAGCCTCTGATTATAACTGTTTGTTTACGATGTTCAAGATAAGATCTAAACCAATTCTGCAATATCCAACAGATTCCATACTGGTGATATAATTTGTAAATTAGAATATCATGATTCACCAGATCAAACGCACTCGTAAAGTCGGTGTAAACGGCATCAACCGGTTCACCCCTATCAACCATCCCATAACCCGAGTCATGTAAGAGGTAAGGTTTGTAGACTTTCTACTTTGAAAACCATGTTGTTCGCTAACTATCTGGTTTTTTGTATGACTGACTATAACCGGAGAGACGGCTATGATTTTGAAATTGTCGGGATCACCTTTCTTATGTACGGGTGTCACTCGAGCACTTTTCCAGAGAGTGGGAAATTTTCCAGAGGACAGAGATTTATTAAAAATTTCCTTTAGTGGACATATATTCACAAATATGTTATATCTGATATTGTAAAACTTTTTTGTGTGAAATAAAACAGGGAGAAAAAAGCAGCCCTTGCTGAGTTTTCTTGCCGGTTTTTCTCAGTACAAGGTCTCCCGCCTTAGGTCACACCGTTGGTGTAGTTTTCAACTTTATAAGAAGCCTAGACTGAATAAACGAATTTGATTTGATAATAATAATAATAATTGACACTTTATTGCTCACACATAATAATTAATATTAAGATAACGATATTGGTACTAATGCCAGGGTGGGCAAAGGCAGTCATATCGCTGAAAGCGATCTCTTTCAGACAGCCTTAAAATAATATAATATAATATAATAAAGAAATAAATAAAGCACTATAAAAATAAGATACTGAATAAAACAGAAGATACTGAGGGTAAAATGAATAAACATGCTGTGGCGACTGATACATAGCGACATCTAACTCATCGCACTAACATCGCCACAACAATCGATAGCGAGAAGACTAGCATTGTCACAGCCATCGATAGCAAGACGAACTGCAAGAAGTTTCAACACCAAGTAACGAGATGGCGCTGTACCAATACGAACATCATAAATTAATAACTACAAGACATTTAGAACAAAGAAACCTACATCACACAGAATAAGTTTCATTACCAATTAAGATAAATAGAACGTCCAACCTACATGGGTTGGACCGCGGTCCCCGGGCTAACAACACCTAGCTCGGAGGGAAACAATTATCCTTTAGTCTCCCTTGCCAGTTGTCTCCATCACCTCGGTAGGGACCACACACTCAACCTTAAGGTTCCAAAAATACAAAATACAAAACAAAGAATATCTTATAAGTACATATCTAAAAAAGCTTATGTAACATGGATTTGAAAATGGCAACAGATTTTATATGTCGAATGGTAGACGGCAGCTTATTCCAGAGCCCAGCAGCTTTAATGGTAAAGGACTTATGGTAATATCCCGATCTAGTATGAGGAATCTCTAGTACATAAATCCGTCCCAGACCACAGCTCACGACTATGATTTGCGCCTATAAATTGGAATCATCACAAGATCAAGATTAAGCTTAGCGATCTGCTCATTGATATCTGAATTAAATATATTTCTCAGCATAGCCAACAGTATATTACTATCTACAGTATTGAATGCATTACTGAAGTCCAGGAAAACCAATATAGTCACTTGTTGCTTCGATATACCCCTCCGAATCTTGTCGGTCACGTTAATCAATGCCGAAGCGGTGCTATGCGCCGGGCGGAAACCGGATTGCAAAGGACTCAAAATATTATGAGAATTAATAAAGCAGCTGATCTGTTGGTGAACAAGGCTCTCGAGGACCTTCGAAAGAAAGGGCAGGATGGATTTAATTTTTCCCCAAAGATGCCTTCTACGAAAAGAAAATTTCTCAATTTGCTAACAGATTCTATGATCCGAAGTCTATTACTTTAAGCTGAGGTTATTCTTTATCATCAAATATAACAACACGACACAAAAATGTGATTCTGCCTTTATGTGATTTTTTGCGCTATGCTGGAACAGCCTTGCGTTTAATTACAATACGATCTTAGCACTATGTGAAATTAGGGTTTTAATTTAGTAACGTATTATTTATCATTAAATTATTTATCATTAAAAAAGACTAATTCTTTGATAGCATTTCCATTATAATTTGGGAAGTAACGAAACGTTGTCGGCCATGTTTTTCCCACAACAGCAACATTACGTCGCGTAGTGAACGTCAACGAAAGGAGTCATTCATTTTGCAAAACTATTTCCTGAAAAACACTGATTTATTTACAAAATTGTTTTCAAACTCCATTTTTATTTGATCTAATGTTAAAATGAATCGAACTGAAGGGTTGGTGCAACGAAGAAACGTTATTAAGGACAGTAATTCAGATGGAGCTTTAAAGGAAAATCACGATACCGATGATAAGAAAAATGATAAAAATTATGATGACGGAGATTCAAAAGAAACAAGATTAACACTGATGGAAGAAGTTTTACTTTTAGGCTTAAAGGACAAAGAGGTACGGCATATTCAATCGAATATTTGAAGGTGATATTCATAGTCGTGCATGGTATCATCAATGTTGAAACAATTTCAGGGTTACACATCATTTTGGAACGACTGCATATCAAGTGGCTTGAGAGGATGTATATTAATCGAGCTGGGATTACGGGGTCGTGTTGAATTGGAAAGAGCTGGGATGCGAAGAAAAGGACTTTTATCTAGAAAAGTAATTGTAAAGTCAGGTAAGATTACTTTCTTCTCAAAAATGTTACCTATTCTCAAATCTTTTTCAAATATGCGTAGAAAACTATTTTTGGTTAAATAAACTTAAAACCTGCTGTTAATGCTATTATTATTTTTTATACATAATTATTTTTTCCATTGTGATTTTCAATGTTTAATTACTATTCAATGTAGTTGCTCATAAAGCGCTATCATTCATTGTAAACACCGAAAGTGAGTCTTTAAACACGTGTTAAATAAAAATGTACTGAAATCCTTTACTGCACACATGCTTAAAAGTATTTTTTTAATTTTTTTGGCTGAGCACCTAAGAAATTAAAAAATCATTATGAAAATATGTCAAACTTTAGAGGCAAAGGTATTTCAAGGAGCCTAGAACGAATATTCTCAAATAAAAATGTATGACACAAAAATATCACGTTTAATTTTAACAAATAATTTTTCAATTTGTTTTATTTCCTCGCAAAAAGCATTGAAAAATGTTGTAAGAAATTTGAGCGTAAAAGGTTTTTCGAATTTGTGCCTATGAAAACCCTTGCTACGCTCGTGTTTTCAATTTGGCCCTTATTCGTAAAACCTTACTTTCCGCACTCGTATCTTAAATAACTATTTATTTTTAATTACTTTTTTAATTGATCTGTAAAGTTTGGGTGTATGTGGTTCCTAATATTATATTATAAGCCATATTTATGGGTCACCAATTTAATCTACCATATAATGTATAATAGGATCTGTTTATGATATCTGATGTAAGTATCATACTAAGCGAACATGATGCAAAGCATATTCTTAAAAAAGAAAGTATTCCCAGTGTTTACTTTGGTACAGTATTTAGTTTGAGAAAGATAAAATCATTTCAATAACAGTTATCTTTTATTTTATTTTTTTGCATAACTTGTCTGTTTCTTTTATTTTTATACTATAACAACAGTCTCTAATACTATAATGTAAAGAAACCAGTACTTTATTTATATTATCATATTAGTTCATGAATATGCTGATACTTTTTAACCCTAATATTATATACAATTGGGTCGTCTAATATCAAAATCCTATAGATCCAAAAAGGACAATTTCTCACGCAAAATGGGCACAGAGTGTTGAGTTGCGGAAAAGCCCGCCGTGAAACATAAGGACAATTTTACAAGAGAAAACTTTTCTATTAGAGTTATGAATGCCATTCCTTTTTATAAAAATAGTTTATATGAAACTTCGATACATCTAAGTACAATGATTTTTAGATTTTATATAATTTATTAAAATATTAGTTAAAAATGGATGTAGCGGATATTGATAGTGAGTTATGGATCTGATGGTGTTTGTTATTCAACACAATGGATCTAACTGATTTTGATATTAAGTTTCTTAATATATGTATAGGTTGTTTTACATAGTACATAAAAGAAGCTGTTGTGACCCTGACTTGAGTGTTGTAAACTCAAAATGTGAAACTAATGAGTGATGTCTGAAGGGGAACTCTTTTTATATTATTTTTTTACAAATCAGCCAATATTTTCCTTAAAATTTACTAAAATGCAGCACAAATCTAACTAACAATGTACCGGTAACCATTCTGGCTCCTAACAGAATTTAAACACTATGTACTTCGCACCACGTCTTGACAGATAACTGTTAAAATCTATATACCTCAGTGGTCAAAGATCTGGCTGGGCATTATATACATTGGATACAGTTTTTGACCTCAATTTACTAGAGATGTGGCTAAGATTGATACGAATTTATTAATGGATAGTGTAGATTTCAAGAAAAATAAACTAAGAGCTAACTTATTTTTTATTAAAAATGGATCTGGCTGATTTTGATCCTAGATGACACAATTATAAGCAAGGTGCTTATAATTTAAAATGGATCTGACTGATTTTGATCCTAGATGACATAATTATAAGCACCTTGCTTATAATTGTGGCATCATTTAATAATTGTTAAAAAGAAAATTTTATAAGTGTTTTATGATATAACTGAAGTCAAATAAATTATAAAAAAAAATTTTAAGACACTTGTTACCAAATTGATTATGATATTTGACTGTTAATTAATTTCTTTGTAGATACTCCTACTGGTGATGTTCTATTAGATGAGGCCTTAAAACATATGAAAGATACAGACCCACCAGAATCTGTTCAGAGTTGGATAGAATATCTAAGCGGTTTGTATTAAAGTAACTAACACTTCTTCTGAATGAAAACCTTTTTGTACAATAATTTATTTTTATAAATTTTAGGTGAAACCTGGAATCCTATGAAACTCAAATACCAGCTAAAAAATGTAAGAGAAAGACTGGCAAAGAATTTGGTTGAAAAAGGTGTTTTAACTACAGAGAAACAAAACTTTTTACTATTTGATATGACTACTCATCCTCTCACAGATAATGTTGTTAAGTGTCGCTTAGTTAAAAAGGTATGTAAATACATTGTTTTAAAGTACATGGTCTTAATTTTGTTATTAGATTTTCGAAAAAAATATTAATACTTGTTAATAAAAATAAAATGATTAGTATTTGTGCAAAATTAATACATATTATGTGTTGTTGTCTGTATGATATGTGGAATTAATCTAAATTTAATCCAAACTCATGTAAGTTCCTTCAATATTTCTTCTTGAATGTTTTTTTTGTGTTGACAGTAGTTTGATTCTTTTGATTGTCCAAGAAACAACAAAAATTAAATATTTAATAGTAATTAGTTCAAAAGTAGTTATTGCATTCTTCCTGCGAATGACAGATGTATGTATATCAGGACAGCAGTCCCTTTTTCCCTCTTTTTTTTTCTTTTGAGGTATGAAAGCCAGAAAATTAATCCTAATAATAATAATAATTTATTTGCGTTTGAATAGGGTATACAAAAGAGATTTAAAAGGTAATACAATTATCGCCTATTCAGCCATTAACAATAGCATGCAAATGTAGTTAAAAAATATACTATAAGCACTGATCAATCCACCCAGGCTACCAGGCTAAGAACTCATGCAACAAATAAAAGGAACGCTCAGCAAGCCAGTTATATAACTCTCTCTTAAATCTAGTAAAAGGTGTATTCTTTATAGATTCCGGAATCTTATTAAATATTGTTTGACACATACAGTAGCAGTTATTTTTAAATCGCGCGTTTTTTTGGGACTATGTCAAGAACTAGCCTAATTTTATTTCTAGTACCTATTTTTATTGTTCATTAAATATCATCATCAGCCCTTTTACGTCCCCACTGCAGGGGCTCAGGCCTTCCTTTGGATGGTTAAGGAGGAAGGGCCATGACCCTCCACGCTGGCCCAATGCTGATTGGAGGGTATTAATGACTGCAAGTGTAGCCGGGACCAACGGCTTAACGTGCCTTCCGAAGCACGAAGTAACTCGAGATAATAATGTTTTGATCACCCATCCCGTGACCGTCCCTTGCGAAAGTTGCATAATGACAACGATCGCTGGCCGCGGCTCTTATCCACTACGCCACCGAGCTACTCATTATTTATGTCCACAGTTCATTAAATATGCCCACAGCAAATATTATGTTTTAATAATAATAATAATAATTTATTTAATTCTTTCCATTACAAAATTTAAATAATCTTAGGTCCCACAAAACTATATTAACAGTTTGACTGTGGTTGGGCTATGAGTCTCGTTTTGAGTTACATGTAATGCTACTTGATTAGTATAATTTATTCATTTACATACATGTTAAGTACAACATGTGTTACAGGCTATTCATTAAATAGTTCTTTAGTAGGTTGGAAAATATTTTTAGGTTACTTTCATGCCTAATATTGTCAGGTAAGCTATTTAATATATATGGGACTCTTTTGTTTAGAGTTCTATCACCATAATAATTGTTAACTCTGGAACTACATATTTACCTACTGCAATTGCTCTAGTATTATGTTTATGCGAGATCAATGGGTGACGCTCCCGACTACTATGGTTATTTATGGCAAGTATATATTTAAGTTTTAAACTAACTGGGAGAATTTTACAAATTTGAAATAACTTTTTATAATCTCCCTTACAGCTATTCTTAGTTTTTTTATTAACGAGTAGTTTCAAAAAGCGCAATTGTAATGATTCTAGTTTCTGTATATTAGTATAAAATGTAAGACCATATGTGTCGATTGCGTACCCCAATATGGAATCGACTAGAGACATATATAAACATTTTAATGTATTTGAGGGAACTTTATAACTTAAATAGTAAAATTTGGATAACAATATTCTAAGTTTAGAACAAATATGGCTTACATGATTTGACCACGAAAAATGCTCATCCACCACCAATCCAAGATAAGTAATAACTTTAACCCTTTCTATTGGCTTACAATAACAAGCGACTAGACCATTATGACAACAATCATAACTATGAGCGACAATTGAGTGAGACATATCAGGTAATTCTATATAAGGAGAGTGTATTACTAGTAGTTTCGTTTTGTCAGCATTAAGCACAATCCCATTGTCATGAGACCACTTGACTATTTCGTCTACGTCATTTTGGACTAGGCGGTAGGTTTCTGTGAGGTCAGTGCCCGCGCGCAACACGCATAGGTCATCTGCGTACATATATGCGGAGGTGTGCGAAGTACACCGCTCAGGCTATTTACATGCATTAAAAAGCAGATAGGACCGCACCCGGACCCTTGTGTCACACCACATTGCACTTCTTTTTTGTCACTATATACCTCGCCCAGCCTGACACGGAAAGAGCGCGAAGTGAGGTAGTCACGGAACCAATTATTCAATGGCCAACCCACTCCACACTCCTCCATTGCATTCAACAATGGCTCTGTTTCAAGGGTATCGAACGCTTTTTTATAGTCAAAAAAGACACTGACCACTATTTTTTTCTCATTAAGATAATTGTTAATTTCGTCATTAAACTTAGACAACAATGTGCTTGTACTCCTACCTTTTTGAAACCCGTGTTGACATTTATTAATAATGTTATTGTTTCTGATATATTCGCTCAACTGTTCCACTATACATTTTTCTATGACTTTGTCCAAGCTTGAGAGTATTGCAATCGGTCTGTAGTTTGAGCATTCCCTACGGTCACTTCTTTTTTTATAGATAGGGCGGATAACCGCTTCTTTTAACCTATCTGGAAAATGAGATTTCATTACACTTAAGTTTATTAGCTTAGCGACTATAGGGCTTATTTTATCCACTAAAAACTTTAAATCACACATACGTATTAGATCACTACCCGGCGCTTTGTTAACATTCATTTTCATAATAATTCGTTTAACATAGTCACAGCTTACAGGTTCCCATTTTATATTAATATTACTACGTTGTATATATGTATTCCTATCCAAAAATTTCTTATCACATGAATGTCTTATTCTGTCAATATCCTTCAAAAATACATTTGCAAACCTATTACAAATTTGTAGTTCATTACCTTGTCCCTTCATACTATGAATAATTAAATTGTCCAATGATTGCTTCTCATTCCCTAGTAACAAGTGAATTCTTTCCCATAACTTTTTTATATTATTGTTACAATTTAATATACATTGTTTATCATAGTTGATTCGACTTTTATATATAATTTTTATACATTTATTTCTTAGTTTTGTATACGCTAATCGTTTTATCATATTCAACGGATCTTTACTCCAAATCAAAAATAGCTTATCCCTTTCCGATATTAATTTTTTATGGTTATCATTAATCCAACACTTATTATTTCTCTTTTTAGTACTAATCAATACAATATCTTTATAACAACTATCGTAAGCATCTGTAAATAATTGAGTAAATGAATTATAAAGCAGCAATGGGCACTCAATACGTAATAAATCGTTGAAATTAGTCTGTAATAATTTTTCACGTACGGCGCGGTTATCGAGCACTCGACGTGCGACTCCCGCTGGCGGAGAGGGGTGAGAGGGGTCATCAGCGCCGAGCATGGAATGCTCAGGAGTGTAAGAACGCTTCCACTGCACTGCTACCACAACGGGGTAGTGGTCAGAAATTTTTGTTTGGACTACCGCGGCATTAATTATAGCCATGGGGATGATGGTAGGATTAGTTTTTATATCAGTGTTTCTGTTGTTTGTAGGTTCAAGAAGCGGCTCTGCGACGATCTATTACTGACGTAGCCCATGCTGACAAGCGTTCTTTGGCTCTTCTTATGTTAGCTCACTCTGCTGACGTTCTAGAAAATGCTTTTGCTCCTCTTTCTGATGAGGATTACGAATTAGCCACGAGACGCGTACGTGCTCTCCTCGATCTTGACTTTGAAGCCGAGGCCATGAGACCTGATGCCTGTGAAATCATGTGGGCAGTTTTTGCAGCGTTCACTAAATAGCGGTGACATATACTAACAACAATTTAGAAGAAAGGTGAAAAAAAAAATGTTAACAGTTAAATCAACAAGTCCTAAAATCGAAATTTCCTATAACAATGACATATTATTGGTGCACTTCGGCGACCATTTTGTAAATTTAAATATTTTATAATTTAGCAGGTAAGTAACTAACATAACAGTAAATACATTATGCCAATATACAGTTGTAATTATGGAAATCTATTAGAGACAGTTTAAATTAAAAGTGTTAAGTTCAGATCATTCAGCATTAGTAAATTTGAAGCCTGAAGGTTACTTTATTCACTGCTGTAATAATTTTTTTGGTTTCCAAATTATAATTTTTTATTTATTTGGGTAATTTTTAAGCAGGCTTATGATATGAGTAACAATATTTAAGTGAATTTTTAGCTTATTTTATTAAATTTAATGGTATGATTTAGTGTGATTTATTAATTGGTACCATTATATCTACATATATATTTTTCTATAGCACAATAATTTTCATGTGTAAAGTGTAATCTTTATGCTGTTACATTGATTTAAAATAGCAAATAGGGAATAGCTAATGAGCATCTATACACTTTAAAGAAGCTTACAATCCATATGCTAGAAATCAGAAGAAAATTAACCATTATAAGATCACCAAATTATGTTACTATAAAATGGCAAATAATGGTTGTTTATCTGACAAATAAACACATGACTTGATCATTAAAAGTTGGTTGGAATATTGAAAAATATATTGTATGATATAAACAGTTGCATCATCGCGATATTAGCTCGACTAGCTTTCGTTTTGTGCAATGGCAGGTTTGAAATATAATTGATTTTAAAAAAATCCTCTCTTATTTCATAAAACACGTAATAGTTGTTCTACAATCTCATTTATAATCATGTACACATAGCAGCATGTCAGTTTCTCACAAAATGGTAGCAATTCTGTTCTACAAAGTAGACTAAATTTAGTTTTAATCGTGTCAAACTGCCTTTTAAATCCTATAAATAAGATAATAAAGACAGTTCATGTCCATATTTGTATTGCAATTAAGTGACTCACTGTCAAAATACTTCAACAACTTTACTCTAGATATGATTTATATAGTAGTCTTATCATAAGAATTTTGTTAAAATTTTATTATATTTTCTGAGCTATCTATGTTGTTCAGTTTATTATCAATAGGATTATATATATGTTAACCAACTTCAAAATGAGGAGGTGGTATTATGTTCGACTGAATGTTATTTTATGTATGTTCGTAATTTTTCCGTGCTATGTAGAGCTATTTTCATAATTGTATTTTTTTTTATTTCAACGGGAATTTTATAAGAATAAAATGATTTCAAAGTTAAGTACAAATTATGATTTGGCGTTCATTTCAAATCCTAACAAAGTAACTTTTTTTTTTGTGTTAATTGAAAGGGCAGGAAGTGTAATGATTATGTAAATTACTAGTAGCCAGTTGTCCTTTGATAGCTGTAGTTGATGACTGGATAAATAAGTTCGCTTAAGTAAATAAAGAAGGTGCACAATGATGAAACCTTTGTAGTTTTTATACTGAGAGCGATTTCGAATCCATAACATCACATGTGTGTTTTAGATGCATGGATTATAAATTATACATTTAGAGAAAGATTTAGACATTTTCTCATTATAAAATCTGTTGGAGATCTTCAGGTGTAGGTATATGATAAAAATAAAATAGAGATATAACAATGTCTTGTAGACATTAGTTTACCTTTTATATTTTCAACGCATAAGTCACATACGGTCAGTTGCACAAACGTTCATTAAGGTTTAATGACGCCTTCAAGTTCTAATGAATGTTATATTTGTATGGGTAATGTCGCTTTAAACTAATGAAAAATTTAATGGACGTTTGTGATAGTATTCCGCTACGCTTAGCAAAATTGTTTTATAAAGAATGGCGGAGTAATTAACAATGAACAGTACAGGATATTCAAAATTTCTGATATACTTCTCTAATTAATATTAAACCTTACCATATCAGAATTTAAGTTCAAAATATAATATTGTGGTAACCAGGTGTGATGTGTTGACACAAGTGTTGATGGATCTTAATATAAAATTAACGATAAATAAAACTTTAATACGTCTGTCGTGTATTTACTTTCTTTTTTTCATAGTCAAGTTTGAGTGCCTAATTATTTAGCTTCTTCACTCCATTTCAATCAAGGAAACATCTCAGCCTTTAGCAAAACAACATTCATAATAATGACTATTTAAAAAGGTTATATTTCTAATCACAATATGATTTAGACAGTTTTATATAAATTACATACATCTTGGTTTTGATTATATTATAGCATGAAATTATAAAAGCCGATGTAATTATAGTGTGTTTGTTATAAGTATTAAAAATGTGTACCTGACTTACATACTAGGTTACTTTGGGAAATAATGTTCTCTATGATATTTATGTATTTTATATTTCATTTCAATAATAATAATGATTTGTAGTATTTTGTTTTATACGAAACATTCCGGTATGTTACTTAACCAAATTAGATGCATTAATTTATTGTATCCTATTTACTATAATTTTATTTTTGTTAAATGCTTTGTTGACATGACATTACCTATCATCTCTAGAATGTTCAGCAATTCTTTGTAATCTTTATTATAATTCTGCTTATATAGATCAATTCATGCTTACAGAGTCGAAACACATTGAAGAGTCAAATTCTTGTAGCTGTTTTCAAAGTTGAGCAATTTTGCCATTCTTTTCTATTAATTTCGTGAGGAAAACAAATTTTGTCTAACATTTACTAGAGCGTTTATAAAATTGTTCGGTTTTATGTTTAGTTCTGATTGATGTCAAAATCGATAAATTTTAATGTTAAAGTCTAATCAGTAGGTACCTCCTAAACTCATAATTTTTCTTAATCACACAGCAGTTCATCTATTACCACAAATTTTGTACTTTGAAAGTCATTGTAATAAGACTTAGAATTGCACCTAAAGCGGCTTTAAGTTGTAAATGTCTCAGTACTGCAATTTCCCTTGGTAACCCTGTAAGTTTGTTGTTTATTGAGATTCGTCATTTGCTTATTTATAGATATAACATTTTTTTTGTATAATAAGCAACAGCTCTAATTTCATTCGATGTAGAATATTTTGTATTAAAATTGGTTATGGTAACGGGTGTTTAAAAGTTACTTGCGTTGTAACAACAAACATCCCGTTAGCAAGGGATGTTTATAATCGAGTCTGTTGTTTTGTGTTTGTAAACATTCTTGTTTTTTATATTATATCACCAGTTATTAATTATTGCTTCTATAAAGTTTTAAATTGTTTATTAATAATTTTACATTGATATGATTTTCATACTATACACAATTCCTTGATTTACTATATTATTTTTTTGGAATCTATGAACTACCTAGCGTTTAAATTAAATTGTATATAGATATAGCACATTTTAATTAGATAATGATATGATTGTGAAGAAATAAATGAAACATGTATAAAATTAAGAGATTTATGTATAATACACATTGATAGTATTGGATATTACTCAAATATATTCCTTAAAACAGTGTCGGGCTTTGTGTTTTAATAATGTTAATGCCTTGTACCTGCATATAAATAAAACGACGTATTAATAAAACTACGAGTACATTTATCTATATAACATAATAAAGACGAAATCTATGATTCTTTGCATTGAAGAGGATCCGAAATTACTGGCTCTTTTTTTTTTTTAAAACTTGTATATGAAAGTTACATTATACGCGGGTGACATAGGCTATAATTTGCGCTGGTAAAGTCATCGTGAGGGCAGGGTGAGCCAGGCCGGTCAACCTACTATAACTCATTTGTGAATATTTATACTCCCGATTTATCACTCAGCACTATGGCTATACCTACCGAGAAATATAAATTTCAGGGCTATTAAAAAGTAATTTTCTCTAATCGACCTCTTATAAGTGAACAGATTGCTTGCTTCTTATCGGTGGCTTATCCGAGTGGATTTCTTATTGGTTATTTCGTTGCATATGTGTGATAGAAATCTATGGTTTAAGGTTTTAGGATCCAATTACATGTATAACTCGAATTAACATGACACATGATGGCCTATCTAATTCTTCGACAAAGAAAGTTTGTATATTTTCGAAATGGTTTTACGACTCCAAAGAAACGTACTTTTCGATAATTTATGATGCAACGGAAGTAGGACCTGACACTGCCTTTGATGCACTGATAATCTTTACTGAAAATTTCTGAATTTTCTTTCGTGACTAAATAGAATATAAAATAAATAAATGTGAATAATTTATACAGCATCACAAAACACATTACTCAGATTCAAAGATGTGTAGCTAGAGCCTCCGTATTATGGACTATCTGTGACAAAGAAGGCACCACAGCATCCAGACCCGAGATAATATAGAAACAGCACCCAAACCCGAGATAATATGGAAAAAGTCCATTTTGCAGACCATTCGGCTTCGGTGGAATTTTTCTGTTACTTTAACTTTATCTATAGTCTTTTTGAATGTTCTTTTATGATGAGCATTATTTTTGTCAAATATGTCGAACTTATCATAAAAGCATTAATTTCAGTTGAAAAAAAGCTGTCAAATCCTCCAATTTGTTAATTTATGCAAATGCTTTGAATGTTAATGTATTAAACTGAAACGTGCTGAAAAGTAGTTTTTATTATTTAGAATTAAAGGAATCATTGTAGTAGTTTTTCCAAAGTAACTTATTGGATCAACCCTGGGTCCTAATTCTTCTAATAATTTCGTAATTGTGTTTAGTCAATGTCGCTTTTTGACACGATTCTTGTTACTATACTTGGATCAATATTACAAAAAGTCTCTCTCACCATTGACTTCAACAAATAAACATTTCACTAATAATATTAGACCTCGAGTAGATACTACATATGACAAGACATCGTGGGCGACTTCGGGGGTACAGCAACTTTTTTTTGGGAAATTAGTTATTTTATACTGTAATATAGTGTGACGCCTCCGATTTTGGCGCCCCTCTGGCGAGTGCAAGTGCCCTCACTTGCCCCCGCAGCGGTGATCGTCGGAAACTAACGTTATTATTATTTTTCAAAACTAATGAATGTTAACTGATATTTTTTAATTTGAAAATCTAGTGAAGATAATACAATATTAAGTTTTTGCCCCGGTTGGAAAAGTTGTCGATCCAAACGGCCTATAGGCCCTATAGGCCCGAATAGAATCTGATTTCGCAGCAGATTCTCATGACACTGATTGAAAAAATATATCAATCAGATTTAATTATGTATCAAGCCGAAAGTTCAAGTTTCGGAGAATCATCCAGGTACGGTCTTTAGAAAATGTCTACGTTTTTTGCTCGCAGCCGAAAGGGTAAAGGTGAAAGTACGAATTAAAAATATTTTATTTTATATATTTTTATTAAAAACTTGCACACATCACACAGTGGATAAGTCTTATACCTCTTTATGACACTAGTTTTTTCTTCAGTTCTCTTTAGTAATATTAATGCATAAAACTCGTGCAATAAGTACTAATTTCAATTTGAAATACAAGAATCTGTTGAAATATACAAGAGATACTATATTTTCTCTACATATTTATATTTTCTGGATTGTGAATTGCATATTTCAGTTCCAGCTATTTAATAGATCGTTCATCTTATTTACCAGACGAACATTCTACAATTCACTAATAGTAAGTAGTTATTTGAATAAGTAGTTCCGACTTAGGTTTATTAAAAAGGTAAGGAATGAAAGGTGCAGTATTATAAGAGCTACTTCAAAAATTTCATGGTCATGGAACTAAATATGAATATATTTAGTAATTATATAAACCGTATTTTTGGGAACTGAGGTGACAATAAAGACGCAGCGGATGTTTTATTATTACCTATATAAAGAGCTTCTTGCATTGAACAGTTTTCGTGTTTCACTTTGATACGATGACACTACGCTTGATTTCGTTCTGTCAATTTCGGACATATCGCAGTCGTGTCTGTATCGTTCTGAGTTCGGCTCTGGGCTTAGCCCGTACCATGAGTTCTTATAACTGCAACACGAATGATATACAGCTTATAACGCTGGTATGCACCAATAGAAGCAAGTATATCAGCAGGCCTACTATTTAAGGCTCTGACCGGATTGTATCAAAATGTACTCAACTTCAATGCACTCATCGTTTAATACAGTATTGAATGTTGGTTGACTGAATTTTGTTTTAATCCCATGACAAAGAAATCGATGTTAGGTTAGTTATATTTTTGTGATAGACCCGCGAGTTACTACAAAACTTAAATCCCTGCAATCTGTTAGAAGCTTAATGGTTAACATTTTAAGCTTAAAATCGATTGACATATATTTTGTAGTAACAGGCGTGCTTTGTACAGCAGGCCAATTCTGTTTACGTAATTATCGCATCTCGCATTTTGTCATTGTACTATGTATCTGAAGTCCAATATTATTATATGTCTATCACCAATCATGTGTGAGGAAGATCTTGCACTAATAATATTGTGCTTAGGTAAAAAGCAAGTCGTTGAGATACTATTGAGACGCGATTGTTACGTAAAAATTGCAGAATTGCCTGATGAACCACAAAATACCTACTTATAGTAAAGTCAAGTGGATATTAATAATATTATCTGGAATTTTAAGGTAGTAAATTTTTAAATGACCTTAAAAAATATTATATTTAAATTTAATGAATCCTTTTTTTATGAATTGTCAATTGGTAGGTTGTTACAAAGGATTTTAGGAAATAAAAATTGTTTATCAAAAAACATTTCTTTCAAGAGTTTTCAATTTTCCACAATATTTCATACACTCTAGTGATGTTCTGATTCTCACAGCCCAAACAACGAAACGTTAAATATTATAATGCTACTTATTTTAATATTTTAAGCGTACAGTTTTATTCAATTTACAGTTAGGTAGGTATATGTACAGTTCGAATTGATTTATCTAACTACAAAGGTACAATGTATAAGTTAAATAGAAATAATAAATGAGTTGTGTACTACTAAACATTATCTGTAAGAATCCAGAAATGTAAATGAAATGTAAAATTAATATATACCATTTCATTAATTTCTATAAACTTACGAGTACATTTGTGTCACTATAATACCTATCTCGGGCGGCGTATGTAACTATAGTCGTAATAATTGTAACTAAGTAGAATGTGCATTGATTGTTATTACTTTTTGCAATAAATATGAATGTTTATTGCGAAAAAGTTAAAACAAATTAAAAAAGTAATAACAAAATCTCAGTAAACGTTCACCTTAACAATGTCGAATAGATTCTGTATAAATTCAATGTTTCAGATTTATTGTATCTACGTATAGAAAATATGAGATTTAGGCCAAAAAATTTTGTTAGAATATGATTTTTTTTCAACACTATAAATATATTTGAATTCATATACAGTTTTTTGTTGACAATATTGTTGTATTGGAAAAAAGAACTTTTATGTAGTCAACAATAAAATTAAGGAACGTTTTATTAGACACATCACTTTTTTATTTTTGTGCGCTGTAAGTCATCATCTATCTAAAATAAGTGATAACATTCCAAGTGTCCTAGATAGTTTTTATAATTAGGCAGATTTCACTTAATTACTAAAGTATAATCTAAGACAATCTCTGATGTCGTAACTGTATGTTAATTATAGGCAAACGTAGATTTTATAAATCGAATATTTAACAATGAGTTTGAAAAGTTCGGCTCGCAATGGTTTGCGTTTGGTTTGTGATTGCGAAAGTTACATTTTTCGAAGAGGCCAGACATTGGATGGCTGATCCGAAAATTACTCCGAGTTTCGGAAGGCACGTTAAGCCGTTGATCTTGGCTGCATTGATTTCGCATTAGGTCTGCGTGGTGGGTATCGACTCCTGTGTTTTCCACGGAGAAAACTTATGTCCCAGAAATGGGGATGATGGTGAATAAGTGTGATAGTCACCCAAAGAGTATTTACAATTGACTATCTACATACTACGGGAGAAATTCTGTAACAATTTTTACATTTCGGAGGAGTTTTAGCGGCTCGACGCCGGTTGTCACCATGCTTCTGTGTATCGAATGTCGTACTCCTGTAGATGGGGTAGCCGCTGTCGCAGCGCATCGAAAGCTTCAGCCGAAAGCTTTGTGCTATTCAAGTTCAATCTACGTAAATTCGATAATCCTGAAAAGAAATGGTGCATTTTAGCATTATGCAGATACATACGTACGTACGATTGTTAAATGTTATTCTATTGAAGAGACCAAACTGATTTTATACAAATTGTATCGCACAAACGTTATCTAAAGTCAGGGTTGTTTTTATATCGGAAAATACGCATTTCTGACAGTTCATTTACTTTAGATTTAAAAGTTTGGAAATTTTGATATCGAACTTACTATCTAATAGCTCCATTACACAAGTCCATGGGTATTTGCTCAGTGATGGGGAAAAGATACTTGATAATTAGGTAATATGGATTTTAAATACCAGCAAATGCTAGTAAAAATTTCGATTTTTCATTGAATTGACTTGATCATCGTTTTGTGAAGGTTTTGTATTTAGAATTGACAGAAACATGTAGAACAGAATACCGCCATCTAGTGTCATTTATTTAATTATTTAGTGCTTTTAATACTTCCGTATTGCAATACCTGATAATGCTTCGATGCCTTTATCCGATACAGGAGTTTCGCAAAGATTAAGAACCTGGAGGCGTGGTAGATGTTCAGCGATGAGCTGCACACCACTATCGCCAAACTTCGTGGCCCATAAGTTTAGATACCGGAGTGAAGGTAGCTGCAGAAAAATGTATTTTATTTAAGACTTTTATCGGAAGGAGCAAATTCATAAGCGATTTTAAGTTCATTGTTGCAAACGTATTATTTATTTGTAACGCAATTCCTTACTAATGAGTAATATTTAACGAAATGTATCTAATATGAACGTTCACTGGATATGATCTAAGTCTTATAAGTATCAGTATGTCACCATACCCGGTTGATTATTGACTTCTATACGATATAATATTATCATTATTGCATCGTCTAGTCCTCTTATTACGTTTTTTTGCCGACACCGTGCTAAGGTAACACCCGATGCACTAATGCGTTTAATAGCGTCAACAACAAAAAAACCGCCAAGTGCGAGTCGTTTTATTATTTCACCAAATATTAGTACCACAAAAAATCTAATAAATAAAATACAACTTTGGATATAAACAATAAAGTGCCGTTTACTAGGTAACCTTCGTCGAGGTGTCGAGATGTTGCCATACTGGAGAGACTAGATAAACCAATAAATATTTTAGACGTATTCTAAAAAGTATCTACTCTAAGTACCACTTATTAACCTTGATAAGGTGATGAGCACAAGCGCTTGTGACGCTGGTAAAAGCTAGAGACAAGCACTCCAAGTTGCCGAGAGCTCCCGTCTCAAGCAAAGCCTCCACATCAGCGTCTGTCGCTCGCACTGGGAGTGCTAATCGCCGAGGTCCGCCTTCTGCTTGCTGCAAAACAGGAAAGTGATATTGGCAGGTATACCATTAAGATAAGATATACCATTAAGATAAGTATAAGATATACCATTTATTATTATAAATTTATTGAAGAGCAGTGGTTAGCGCCTTTACGAAGCGGATGTTAATCAACTTTTGCAAGGGTCGGTCGTTGAATCGGTGACCAAAAATGATTTTGAGCTCTTAGGTGCACGTGGAAGGCATATTAAGTTAATCTTTTTAGTCAGATTTTTGTAGTTAACACCCACCGATCCGTACTGGGAGCGGGTAGTGTATTGTGGTGGGTGTTGACGACGCAGTAAGTACCTAGTGAATTCTGGTGGTTTTACGATACAACTTGATATCGTAAATTGACAACCTCCGTAGTCGTATGGTTCGCATGCGTGTTTCAAGGATCCGGGTTCCCGATCGGGGCAATGTAGAAAAAGGACTTTTTTTTTACATTGGCTCGGGTCTTGGTGTTGTGGCACCTTCGTCTTTTGGAGACTCCATATTAAGGAGACTTTAGTTACTCATCTTGGAATCTGAGCAATGTATGTGATGTTGTTGATTATTTATTTTATGTAAATGTAATTATAATGTAATTAAAGCTTCGCTCAACATCTAAAAGAGCGTGATTAGATATAGGTACGATTTAAGTAAAAGTTTTGTAGTAGAATATTCTTCGTTTGTACTCCGTCTGTAATTAATAGTCGTTTGGAAGCAGACTTTGGGCTCACGTTAGAATAAAATTGTAACAAATTCGATTTCAGTATCAAATTGTGACATTGCGTGCTTTAACGTAATAAATCAGTCGGGTAAGATACTCACCAATCTCTGAAGGTTTTGCTGTCTATCGCAAAGGTCTTTATAATACTTTTGTCCCAGTTCAGTGCCCTGAAGAGCTGCTATTACTTCCAATTGAGTCTGTTCTCCACTTGCGACTTCCCACTCCAACATTAGACACAAGGCTTCTAAAGCAGCAGGCTAAAATAAAAAAGAGACATTTTAAGCTTTTTGAAAAGTAACTTATTGTTCCTCATTGAGGCCTTATCTTAAATTATAGTAAAAGTCAAAATATGTTCATTCAGATAAACTTGTTTCAAGAACTGTTGAATCGTTCAATATTTTTTTACTACTACTCGGGGCCCATCACAGTCGGGCCCATTCAATTTTTACCAATCAAATCTTCCCAAGGGCTCCCGACTATGAGTCGTTCTATTCTGCATTCGAATTTATGATTTGCTTTATGTGTGTATCGATTATAAAACTATTTCAATTGTGTAGTTGTTTAGTATTACTTCACAGAATTCTAAACTACTGGCCTTGTTTATTTCTTTATATTTTTTATTTAAGTTAATTTAAGCTAATAAGAAGAACGAGCAAGAAACTCACAAGCTCTAATAGAGATTAAATATGTGGACTTACGTGTTCATTTAAGCCTACTAAAACGAAATCAGGAAGTTGTTTACTCATACTTTGAAGAAAACTTTTTCTTTTACAGCAACAATGTAGTAAACTTCCCAACTGTAATAAATATATATAAATCATATCAGCAGCGTTCAGAATACAATAGGCTATAAATTAAGAACTACTACTCTCTATAAACTCTCTATAAACAGGTAAAACGATAAAATATTAAAGTATAATTCTAATCATGATAAAACTATAATAAGTTTCTTTCAAGGATTACCGTAGAATTTAACAGCGGTCATAATTTTAGTGTTTTGTATTAATTTATTCACCATATCTCCCCATAGTTGGCATAACTGTTGGTTGTGTAACGCAAGTAGCGGTTCGGTGGGTGCAGCAGCTTTTAACCAAGATGGCGGCGAGGGTCTAGCAGCTCGGCATGGCGTGACGCAAGCGTGCGCTTGGCATCGAGTGTCGCGCGCCAACGCCGCGAGCACGTTGCCAAGCCGTCTGGCAACTCGGGGGCAGGTCAACACTCCGGGACATAATGGAACCGGTTGTAATACTGCGCCTACCACCACTAGCCAGTCTTCATATTCGCACCTGCAATAAAATGAAATAAATTATGTGGTTATTTTTCAATTAATGTTACCTAAGTTGCAATACTATTCGCAAAATTGTATCACTGTAACCCTAGTTGAAGCAAATAAATAATTTGAATAAGTAATTTCGACGCTGTATTCGTACTCCTTCATTATATTGAATTGCCAATTATAGATATTTACTATATTGCCGTATATCAGGATTAATTTAAACCTTTTGGTTATTGACGTCAGTTTAATAATCCTTATTATTTCCCACATTATTTGTCACTAAAAATATTAAAATAAAATTGTTTCTGTCTACTCTTCTTTTTTTCATTAAATTAATATTTCTTTTCTTTTGGTCTACCTGAGGGTTCCAATGGACCCCTCCATTCTGATCCTATATTATTTATACATATTCCACTGAGATCCATGTTAGTTCTGTCTTTTCAATTTACAAAATCTATAGCTTTAAATACAAACACACAGAACAAAGTTAAAAAAATATATATTTTGAAATAATAATGGAAAAAAATCTAAAGTAGTAAATTGAATTAAAGCAACCTCCTTTGAAGTCAGGTGGTTAATAACATAGCTAGCAAATCCTCGCACGAATTCAGAAAAAGTTTCTGGAATCAATTAAATGTTTGATCATTATTGTATAACTTGATAAAATATTACATTGTTATCGCTTGTATTTTGTCCAAAAACAGAAAAATTGCGTAGACGCTTATGAATAATACGGAGGTTGTCTATTTAATATTACTCATATATTTATTTAATGTTACTTACATATACTCAAGGATGTCGGCGAAGCATAGCACCTCTTCTTCCTTGTCATCACAGACATGCGGAATTGACGCGTTTCTATAGTGATCGTCTAGAGCAGCTAGTGCGACTGCAGCTAGGTTGGGTGCGGCTCGTGGGTGTGGGCATGACGCCCGGCCGCCGTGCGTCACTTCAACGAAACGGCGTACCAGCGCTGTTCCGGAGTTATGCGCACTCAGTGCACTAAAAACAAACGCAATATCTTCAATAAATATTTAGTAAATGTATGAAATAACTTCAATCAGTATCTTACAGCTCTAAAATTCAAGGGCGGACCTAGCGGACACGGCGTCATGTCGACCATTATTATTTTTATCCAATATTAATTAATGAATTTACTTAAATGGATCAGGTATCTTGATTAGATTTCGACGCCCCAATCTCTGATTTGAAGACTCGATGCGTTATCTTGATTGGACCTCTGAGATGAAGGCTAAAGCTACTCTTGGTAACATGTTACTGGGCAAATTTATTACTATACGTATGAAAGCAAAATTTTTTATATTTTGCAAATGCCAAGGCGACTCTAAAGAAGCGCATTTTTTGCCAATTTATGATGTAACAGAACTCTGTTTTTATTCAGATAATTTTGTTAACGAATATGCTTTTAACAAAATTATAAGAACGATTCGAAATGTGTCGAATTTTCGTCGCGCCACTTGCATCACTTCTACATAACGGCGCACTAATGCTGGTATGGGATTATTCCAGAACTGGTTACTCAGAACATTAAGAATTAAATAAACATCTTCGATAAATATTTAACAATAAGAAAGTATTTAAAAATAAACGAAAGCATCAAAAAAGCACCTCCACTAGATGGCGACTCTAGCAAAAGTTGATTTTTGTAGGAAACGAATGGACAAAAGACAGTCATTTCCGTTCCTTTTAACTAATATATTAAATAAGTGAAATTTTAAAAGTTCGAAACTCAGATATTAATACAAATACGAAAAAGTACAAATAGAATATGAGTTGTTTATTGAGTTTAGAAAACGAATTTACTTATAAACATGAAAGAAAACTGGAAGGGTTGTCACGGAGAAATCAAGAACGTACCGTAGCGACATCTAGTTTGATTTCGGAAACTAATGATTTTTTTTAAATATCTACTTCCTCATTACTTTTGAACTGGGTAAAATTAATATAGAAGCCAAATTGATTTAAAACGATGTGTGTCCGGAAAATTGGTCTAACAATTTAGGTAACCAGGTTGTAAGCGCTCATTAGATGTAGGTCATGTTTACAAATGCTGACGAATCCGATCTATCAGAATGGATATCTCATCTAAAAACTGAAATGTTCAATGTGGTATGCCAATAAATAAACTAAATGTAACTAGCAAATATTAGCTCTTATCTATGTTATAAATTTTGCTTCTAGAGATATAATGTGCACGTTTTTATTTATTATCGCTTTCTGACTCTCTTTCTTTGATCCGTAGACCTCATATTAAAAGCACTTATCTAACTTCAAATCTAAAATGATAAGGGACGAACATAAGCCTCCCGTGGCTTATTATTGAAATATTTTGTATAACCTCGACCAAAGTTCATATCAGATGGTCGCATGTATGTTATAGTTTTGTAATATGTGACGTCAATTGTTTGGCGGGAAACATACTGTGTGTATTATAATAATATTGTTATCTGCCGCTTTACACTAACCATTGCCCAGACGGAAAGTACCAATTAAAATTGTTAATTTGTTTGACGTCATTCGTTGCAGTTACTGATTAGTATGATAATTATTTTATTCGTAATATTTAACTTAAATAGTTATTTCAGATTAGTTAGTCACTTTTAAAAAAATAGGATATAATAAAAAAAAATAGTTCAAACTTATAAGATTTATGTACTTATGTGGGTGCGGTGGATTTTGTCGGTTAAGCAAAAACGCTGGGGCTCTTCAACTTATTAAAGAGCCCCAGTTTAGTCGGCCTTCGTCCAGGGGAGCGATTCCGTATAAAATCGAACCCGAAATCGAATTTACTCATGTGTCAAAATTCACGTCATTTCACTTATGCCACGAAATGTTATTACCAATTCAAGGTTGAGCGGATGCCACTTTTGAAGTGAATTCAGATACCTGAGTGTATTCGAATTCCCGTTCGAATTTTTACAAAAAATTCGAACGGGAATTGCTCAATGGGGCTGGTCGATGAAATGTTAAGGTAAGTTCCCCGCGGTAAAAAAATAAGGTATATCTACTTTAATACTTATTATAAAGAGAAAAAAAATGATTATTTATTTGCTTAAAATGGATAAAAAAAGCTGAACCGATTTTTTAAATTAAGTTTATATTATCAAAGAGAAAATTCGCTCTACTTATATGTCTGATAATATTCTACAATCGCTTCTATGAAATTATTATAATGATATTACAATAATATAATACAAATATAAAATTTTATTAATTAAAACGCCTGTCAGCTAGTAAATAATATCGTAAAACGCAACAAAGTTTTCTAAGGTTTAACGCAAACAGACGTAGCATCCGATCAATAACATATTCTATACAACTTTGTCCAATTAGTTACGTGCCCGGGCTTGCATTTGCATTGCATTACTACGCCACAAATTATTTATCAGCAGTGACGTCATTACGCTCTTCAGCTCGGTATATATTAACCGACGAAAGAAATGGATTCTTCTATGTAGGATTTATCTGTTTATACCTTTTTAACCGTAATAAGAAATAGAGGGACAGTTAAAATTAGAATAAAGAACTTCTGTCATACATACACATACGTGACATATTTTTTTTCAATAATTCGATACTCATATTAAAAAAAGGAAATATTTGATTGTTTGTTTATTTGCATTGAATAGACTTCAAACTATTGCATCGATTTATAAAAAAGTCTTTCATTTACAGAAAGTTACATATAAGCGTTGGACATAGGCTATAATTATGCAGGCGAAGTCGGTGGGAAACAGCTAGTTTGATAGAAATTGGTTCACAATTCAAGAACAAATCAATTAACATAACTACCATCATAAAACATACTTATACACAGGCCTTTCGGATTACGAATGAATTCAAAATACAAAATACATGAAATACAATACATATCATCTAAATGTTTAAATGATATCTGGTGAAAAGCGTATATTGTTTTGTTATAAAAGGCACACAACTGATTCGATTTCGATAAAATTTAAATGGAACCACCTCGGAAATATCAGTGACAATAAATAAAAAAAATCATATATCGCCGTCGGACATATAATGTTTTCCTTATGGATTTTTGAAGCCGGTTAAAGAAGTCTATGGATTTTCTTCCAATTTATGATAACTTATTGTTAATCTCCTAATTAACACTAAGGTGTTAAAAGCGTCATCATATTATCTGACGTCACTGCAGTTGATCTCAAACGAATATTGCTTCAAACATTTGCTAAACAACTGCGTAAGTCTCGTTGGGTATGTACATACGTAGCCAAATACGACCGGTAAACTAATATGCTATGCAGGTCAGGCGACTATCTACGTAATAAGGTGGACATAATGACTGTCTAAATTACTCGTACTCTGTCCTTCACTAAGACCTTAATGACAAAAGCTATTATTAGATTGATATTTTTTTTAAACCTTCACTTTAGGTGACTCTAGCGTTGACTTTTAGAAACGCAAAAGTTGCATGTGTTCATACTATAATAATGATGTTTACCTTATATAATCTCTAACGAGTCGACGAGCGTTTGGTGCTCTTGCAAAATCAACGTTCCGGGTTAAGACACGGCGTACAGGAGGTGCGAGAGCGGGTAGCGGAGCGGCGCGCGGCCGTCTCCGACATAACCTCGCCAGCAAAGCACATAACTCGCCGGTGGCGCATCGTTCCGCTAGCAATGGTGCCGCGACACTTGTCACCAGTTCCGCCCATTCCTCCCAATCAGGACTATCTTTCCTCTGTTCAACAAAAGAGGTGTAAAGAGGATTTAAGTCACGAGTTGCTTATGCTTTGTATTACAATAATCCCAATAATATTAATTACTTTGTTAATATTTATTATAGTAAACTTGATATAGGTCTAGGAAAAAAATCATGCGTTTTATTAGGCTACATAGTTTAACCAGCCTCTGCAATCAGAAGTCGGGAATCGTTATTATTATGTTACTGAAATTTGTAAAGACCCTTCGTAATATCTGACTCGTTAGATTATAAACAGACGACGACTGATGTTGATAAACTCAAGAGTTGTTCGATTCTCGGTCGGTTTAAGGTAGAAAATTACTTTTTGTGAATTGTCACGGGTCTGGGTGTTGTGGTACCGTCTTAGTTTCCGAACACTATCATGCAAGTAATAAAGGCCACTGAATTGAGGATCGGAGCATTGTTTGCGATGTTATCTAGCATTCATTTATTATAATGTAACTTTTAACTTTAATATAAAATTTGTCATAATTATTATAAAATTTCAACACTGTTAAATACTCGTACTTCGCCGATATACTTACGTACTGACGTATTTTTTAAGTTATGAAAACTTGTATGAAAACCAATGTTAGCTATGAAACCACAATTAATCTACGCAGACGCATAGTAAAAACTTGTAGATGTTTATGTTGGCTCGTTCGCAAGAAGCGAGATAGTTTTGAGCACCCCATCAATCTTTAAAAGTTTAATGTTAAATGAAAACATCACTGTATTCCAGAGTGTGGATTCGATAAAATATATAAATATTTTGCCAGTATTACTATTATAGGATCTGGCTTTTATAATTAGGAGTCTTTTTTTAAATAATCTTAGACCTAAAGCACTTACACCGATAAGTGTAATAGATAATAATCATTGATAAAAAAAACAGTAGGTCCATTGCAGTAAGGTAGCTCGGTGGCGAATTGATCGTCATTGTTAAGCTTCATCTCGGTTACGGGATGGGTGACCATTAATTATTATCACGAGCCACTCTGTGCTTCGGGAAGCAAATTAACAGTTAAATTTACAGTCGTTATTACCCTCCAATCCGCATCGGGCCAGCGTGGAGCCTGCAGTGACATGTAAAATGGCTGATGATGATAAGGTCGATTGAGTCAGAAAATATCCATATGCAAAATGTTGCTTGAAATAAGTTTTTTTACAAAATTTTACTGGGTACATATTCCGCTAAGACAAATGGTTCAATATATTTTTTATAAATTTTAATTACCTCTGATAATAGATCAGTAAGAATTTGTAAAGGTGTTCGCGTTACGCTCTCATCTTGCAAAGGAGTAGTCATCACAAAGTCCACCATATTCTAAAAATAATAAATATTGAATTCATTAAAAACTTTTTGATTTACACTATCATCTAATAGAATAAATAATTATGAATGTTATTATAGTAATTCTGGCAGAACTCTAGACATTTCTTTAGTGGTTTATAAATAATTAGTTGTTTTTTCAATCATATGAAGAGTCTCAAAAATGTTTTGTCAATTATTAAGATTAAAAAAGTTAACATACCTTCAATTCCTTCAAAACGACTTCCCTTCTTACAGATTTAGTGAGAAAATTTCGATATCGAATTATATTTTTCTGCAAAAAGAATACGAATTATTATAATTGTGTAAAATCTACACATTCAAATCCAAACAATGATAGAGGAAGGAAAAACTTACCCTCCACACAATGGAATGATACCACTGGTCCCTTGTGTAAACATCATTAGCCTGAAATGACCAATATAATTAATAATAAATCACAAATAATAATTCATAAAAAACAAACAAGTCATGACATAATATTTCAACTGTTTTGCTGGAAGATATGTATTATGTGATGTTCCCAATGTGTTTTCTGTAGAGGATGTAAAATCATTATATGAATCAAAAATTAACTAAATACTGATCACATCATTAGCTCGAAAAAGACGACCAGTTAGATTTGTACTATATTATTACACTATTAGTAAATAAAAATACCAATAATCTATGATATTTTAGCCGAAAAAAAAAAAATTACTACTATCTATGTAGGTAATGGTAGACACTGCTGTGTATTATGATGAAATTGTCTTTTCAAAAAACTAAAACTGCGTTGAAATGCGTAAATATTAGTACCTGAAGAGGCGGTTAACGAATTCAAGCTTATTCTCGTCCGTATAAAGCGCTTAATAAACATAACATTATAAATGTTTTACATAATTGATAATTTATTATAACATATTAAACATACATTATTGATAATTTATTATAGATGTTTGATCAATTTTGCGTTCTCAATCTTTTATTGATATTTCTCTTGAAGAAAAATCCATAAAAATTCAACAGCCCAGGTATTTTTGAAGTCAATTCAAAATGGCAAATATTTCTTAATCGGTTTATAATGTTTAAATTTACTATAGTGATATATAAAATTCTCTAATTTTGACCGTTTTATACGAGGATAACCTAACGTATTGTGGATAATACGTTTTAACTTGATAAAAACAACTCTAATAAAGATTTACCTATTTAATATTTACTGTTCGATACCTCTTTTATTATTAATCTTTTCTAGCAATTACTGATTAGTAGGTGTCTAAAATAAAAAAACTAGCTCATAACAAAGTGCTTGAACTAGTATCATTGGAAAGAAAACAGGCCGGGTAAGATGATCGGTTTTATTTGTATCTAACTACGTCTGTAATGTATCATGAATAAACATCATAAAAATAGACAAGTGAAACCAATACTCCTCATAATGATATTCTATGGGTAAGTGTCTGTCACCATTGATTTGTGAAGAAGACATTGTATTAATATTGGACTTCAATTAGATAGTACAATGACAAAATACAAACGTAAACGTTAGCCAAGCCAAGATGTAACGCTAAGATTCTTGAGACTTGAGAAATCATTAACAGTATACAAAGTAACCGAAAAGTGACTCGGTATATTGTAAAAGTTAAGAAAAATAAATGTGTTTTTAAATATTTTAAGCATTTTGACATGACAGCGTCTTACATTATTAATTTAGTTTTTTTTGTAATGTTTTAAGAAACTCAAGTATATGTTATTAAAGTTTATTTTATACAGTACTAGAGATCCGTGTTAGTTTTATAAACATGCATTGAAAAGCTACTTATAAAAGATATTTTTCGGTTACATAGAAACAATAATACATTAATAAAAATATTATAAATACATTTTTATCTTTAACTGATCAAAGCACTCATTATTTTGGATATATTGATTCACAGTTGAGCACACAAACATGGTGGTTTCTCCGTTCATAACGACTCTACCAAATAAATTTACGTTTAATTACATTTTTACAATTAAATAATATGTAGATCAAATGCTAACCGCAAATAATATGAGAAGTCGGAACCACTCGGACTTCATTTGTGGTTGTTGGTGATACTTTGTTACATCGTAAATAAATGAAAAACAAATGATGAATGCGCCATTCATACTTTAAAATATATTTTTATTAACGGAAAACTTCTAAATAGTTAAGTGCCTATCTATTGTCGTAAAACTTATTCTATTTCTATGTTTGCTTCGTTTTAATAAGGATGTGCCGGATTCGATGCTTAGGCAAATTAATAAAAGGCTGACTAAGCTTGAGAACTTGATTTATTAAAGGATAATAAAACATCCCGTTTCTGGGTTTTCCGTAATAGAATACACTAAGTTTTAAGTGGATGTTTCAAGGAAATAAACGTTTACATGTTTCTTATTTTAATAATTATAATTTATATTGGATTTATAAGATTAAATATGATGATATGATTAAATTATCATGTTCTTGCTGGATGATTTTTTTTACGAACTGACATTCATAAAGAGCATATTGGATTACTCAAAATAAATGACGTTGAAGATCAAAGACAAAAGATTTGCATGCGGAAACTTAGGACAAAAAAAACGGTGGTACGACGCACCGTTACAAGGAAGCCTATATTTTGGGTCTGAGACCAACCTCTGTATATATGAATATATATGAATATGAATGTATAATATTTATAATTCTTACTTGTTAAATGTTTGTGAACGAAAATCTTCGTAAAATTTTTATATGAAGTATCATTGATCACTCCAGACAAAAAATAACGCTCAGAGAATTCACTGACCTGTAATAGAAGCGATCCATGAGGCATAACAATTCGTAAACAGTATTTCCTCGCGGAGTCCCATCGTGATATGCAGTAGACTTCTTGCATGCAGCTGTATGGTAGTGGATGTTCCAGCAAGCCCGAAGGCTGAAACAATGAACAAAAATTAGCAAATAAACATCACCTGTAGACAGTGCGATTTGAAAATTTGGGAAAGTGAGTCAAACTATAATAATTATATTTTTCCACTTGCGAAACTTATTTTATGTTAAAAAATACTTCTACAAATTATATATTTGATATTAACGATGCCAAATTTATCATTTATAATGACTAGGTACTTTAAGACTTCATTAATTTTATGAAATTGATTTTATATTTTAAGCACTAATAATAATGCTTGTCATTCACGTCTTATAGAAAAAGTCAAAACAAAAAACTGCCGGTCCTATCTTGGGTATTTGAGATTCTTTAGGTAGAGTCATGTGGTTAAGTAGCGTAGGAGGTTAGGCTGTACTTCTTGTGACACGTTACAAATGATACAACGCCCGAGTGTCTCCAGCGATTTACCAATCTATCTCACATTTCTTATATCGTTTTCTACTTTCCATCGATTTAAATACATTGTGCCCACTCTCCTCTCTTTCCCTTTCTCACATGGCTCTATTTTTCTATAAGAATCAGTCCTGCAATTCTGTAAAGATCCAGACCCGAATTCGAATTCACTCAAGTGTCCGATTTCACGACAATTTGTGTACAAATTCTATTGAACCCATTTTTTGTATAAAAATACAAGACAAAATTGATCGAGTATACGTGTCTCAGAGATTCTATTCCTATGTACTTTCAAAACTTACTTATGCTACGAAACGTTAAAATTTAAGGTTGAGCGGCTATGAGTTTTTTTGAATTGGCCGCCAGTACTCTGAGATGGGACCTCATATAATAATAATAAGTTTATGAAGTCGGTACAATTTTATTAGGTAACTTATTTGTATTAGGCACTCAATTTCTTTAAAGCAAATTATACTTTATACATTTTTTAAATATATTTTTATAGTATTTATAGTATTAATAATATGCCAACTGGACATTAATATATTGATTTATTATATTTTCACGCGCACTATCCATAAATGAAACAACTTTTAATCGGTTTCATCGCGTTTGTATTTAGTTTTATTGATGTAATCTGAAAAAAATACAAAAGAGCATACAAATAATTTCAGATAAAAAAGAACTCGTAATTGAATGGGGAAATTCTTGCATAAAAAATGTCTTAATTTAAAACTTATGTACTCATTCAGTCTAGTAGATTGTCTAAATTATCTGTTACGGACTGACAGCCAAACAGACACATCCTACAAATAAGGGTTTCGTGTATTCTTCTTGCAGAGTAAAAATTGCATTTATATGGAACAGTTGTTTTATTTACACATATCATCATAATCATCATCAGCCCTTTTACGTCCCCACAGCAGGGCCTTCCTTATAGATGGTTATGGAGGATGGCTCCACGCTGGCCCAATGCGGATAGGAGGGTATTAACGACTGAAAATGCAGCCGGGACAACGGCTTAACGTGCCTTCCAAAGCACGTAGTAGCTCGAGATAATAATTTTTTGGTCACCCATTCCGTGACCGACCCTTGCGAAAGTTGCTTAACAACAACGATCGCGGGCCGCAGCGCTTATCCTCTACGCCACCGAGCTACCTTTTTACTTTTTTACACATATGTATGAGTATATTGTATGACATAATTCATAAAATTACTTTGTTTGTCGCGTTTCCAGTTTCATTATTTAATTCATATAAATTCCTATGTGATAAGTAATCATAAACGGTTCATACAAACGTTGTCTTATATAGGATGTCCAACTATATTTCACATATGCATATACAATTTAAAGGATTTCTTCCACTATCATGATTTTTCGTATAAGTCGTAAAAAAATGTGTTTGTTAGTTGAATTTCGTATTTATTAGAATGCCCTTACTATTATAAAAAAAAACACTAAAGAAAGATGGTGAAAAAAGTGTCCTACGCATTTACGTTTTTAAACTTAATATCTGCAATTATTTGATAAAGATACTAATAGTTGGATTCAACTAAATAATATATTCAATGATTTTTTTAACAATATGAAAATAAGTTTTATTTATTACTTATTTAAAGAAATTATATTTTCCAAGATAGCATAATGAATGCAAAATTAATCAAATATAATGATAAAATAAATGATTAATAATTTAGAAATTGAAAATTACACCGATTACCAGTATATTCATTACTAAAATAAAATATTTTATAAAAGACGCATATGATTTTTTTATGTAAAGTTATAAATTCAGAATCACAGACTAATGCAGATAAAAATAACATCCTATGTAAGTAGGTAATACTACTGTATCATTCTTCTGTCACGAAATTACAATACAATACATTTGAAATGAGGTATTTCCAAATGTTAAGCATACCTATTGCTTGATGTCATTCAGAACCTTTCGGCTATGTACTGTACATTCAGAGCTTTTGCTCAGAACTTAACGAGGTGAAAAAAAAAATTGTTTACCATTCTTCATAAATGAGTAACGCGTGCCACGCAATGGTATGCCGAACACTATTTACGTGTATTGTAGCTATGCAATTTTTATTATCACCATCCTTACGTATTTGAAAATGGCTTTCTTTGTACCTATGTGATTTTGCGGCATTTTTAATTTTTCTTTAAAATATTTTTAAATGAGTAAAACCATATTTTTTCCCTCAAAGAAAAGTAATTAATGTACAAAAATAATACGAAAAAACGCGATTTAAACCTATTTAGTGGTATTTCTTTTTTGTGGAACGCCCGTTCCAAGTTTTAAATGTTACATGTTCACATTTTGTTGTTAGTTTTCCTTTTATGCAGTGATGTTCCGGATATCCGTATCCGTGTCCGAATCCGCGGATATCCGACGGAAAATAAAGATCCGTATCTGTATCCGTATCCGTTACTTTTCTCGCGGATCTTTTACGGTCTTTTAACTTATTAATTTTCAATTGATAGGATGAAATGCTATATAAAGGTGATTACGGATATTTAAAAAACTATTAAATTCAATTCAAGTATTTTTTATTTGTTAATATAAAATATTTGGCACCTTTATATTGCAAACATTTATCGTAGTAAGTTACTATACCAATAGTACATAACTCAAAGGTGACTTATCAACTATCTTTATAATAAGATCAATATTATAGAAAGTTATAACATCAATTTCAAAAATATAAGAAAATAAGAAAACCACAACTGTAATAATTATAATGAGATCAATATAAAAGAAAGTTATAAGATCACTTTTATAAAAATGAAATGATGAGAAAACCAAAAATAAATTCTTATAAAGTAAATTAATACTGCGTACCTAGTAGGTAGTACCTACCATATAAAGTGTAAACATTAGATTACACGAGCAAACACAGTGAAAATTAGAGGAACTTGAAAACTATAATTATAAAGATCCGTATTCGTATCCGCGGATCTTGACACCAAATATCCGTATTCGGATCTGTATCCGCGGATATACATTTTTAAGGATCCGGCACATCACTACTTTTATGGCAACCAATAATAGAGATTTGTATATTTCTTCGCGAAATTCCTATTAATATTAGTAATAAAAGCCTGATTAGAGTTAGCATACTTATATTAAAAAAAGAAATCTATAATTTTGTTTGCCACCAACGACATTTACCACAATCAAGTAGGTAGGTAGGTCAGGTGGATAGTTTATCCATCCAGATATACCAAAATTGAATTTATTTAAAAGTTCCTACATAATAATTAAGGAAAATAGCCCCAAGTTAGAAAGAGTTTGAAGTTAAAGAAATTGAAAAATTCTATAATTTTAGACATCGCTTTGTGTTTGATAGTGCTTTATATAATTCTTGTTTAAAAAATCCTGGTTGCAAAAAGAGGGAAACATATCCAAAAATATAAAGAATTTTAGCTTTCTTCAAAACGTATTTTTAGTTATTTAGGTAGAAGAATAAAAAGTTAAGCACACCTCTAACCGTAATTGAAGCATCTTGACAGGTTTTCTTTTCTGTTTTTTTTTTTAATAATCAGTTCAGATCAGATCAATTTATAGCAGTTTAATAAAACTAGGACTTTTTGCCATGTTAAATGTAGAAAAATTAATAAATAATCAGTTGAGATTTTGCATTATTCTTAATTTAGAAACCGGCCAAAAGCAGCGCTTTTCTTTTGAAACTTTTTTAACCATTTATTTAGTTATATTAAAAAAAATTGTATATATAATTTTTTATTCTTTAAATTAGAAATATCGAAGAAAAAGTCATGCTAAAGTCCTATGCGCTTCTTTATTAATTTTTGTTTTTTTGTTTTTGTAAATATGGTGAATGTGATCTCTACGAAAATTTAAAAAAGAAAATTAAAATTTTGAAGGTAGACCTACAGTATAAGTGAAGGATCAATAATATGTAGCTGTTTTCCAAAATTGTAGCGACATCCGTCATAGCCACGAGTTGCTGTTAGGTATAGGTAATCACAATATTACAATCCAATTAATTAAAATGCGAGTTGTGCCTAGTTAAGTTTGTAAATGAGTTTGTATTGACGTCAATCTGTTTAGGGTATCGCATGCTGTAACGATATGTTCAAATGTATAATATTTTAAATATTTAGGCAGTTGATTTTATTAATTGAAAACATTTAACAACACATTAAACTGCAATTAACTAACAAACAAATGAAAAAGAGAAACATGACTTTTTTATTTTCGTGTCAGTGTCATGTATTTATATACGAATCAATCATTATAATAAAAAGATGGGTAAAAAGTGTGAAAATTAAAAAAAAAATATAATAAGGTTTATTTTCGATAACTTTTTGCCCTCTTGTAGGTAGGGACGTGATCCCATTGATAAAAAAACTGCGACATGTGGTTTTGACAGTAATCGCGTGATGTTAACCTGATACTGTCTAAAGAATTCTGAAGAGACTGAAACAGTTGGAAATCTGAAGGTGTAAGATCAGGATTATACAGCAGATGCATTAACACCTTTCAGCAAAACTCTCTTAATTTTTTCTGTGGCAAAAAATGTGTGAGGTCTAGCGTTATCGTTTTGTAAAACCAGAATTA